TATTTTTTCTTAAAATTATATTTTAAAACATTAAATAGAGTAGTTTTTAATAGTTTTGTGAGTAGCTTATTAAATTTGAAAGTTTTTCTAAAAAAAACAATACTTCATACTTAGGAATGTATTTAACGATTACAACATAATTTTTCAAAAAAATAAAATTAAAAAATGTCTGTATTCTACTAATACGTCGTTTTTTTGCTAAAGTATTTTACTATAATTATATCACAGTCGGAAATGCATATGATCTTGCCATTATAATACGCGTTCCAAAAGATTTACAAGCTTCTTTTTTTCCCATTACAAACGACATCTCATATGACAGGGCTAAAAAAATGTTTTTGTGACGAACCTTATTAACGTTTATTATTCTTTATTTTATTAGAATTTATTTTTATATTCATTTTTCTTCCAGTACAAACCAGGTAACGAGGGGGTAACGTGCTGTTGGAGTTTGACGTAAATTACTTGATTTACTTGTAGCTAATAGTATTGGGCTTTAAGAGATGATGCAACTCATGGTATGGTTTCTTTTGTAGGAATTGCTATGTACCTTCCCTTACAGAACAATCAATTAGCGAGCGGCTCCATTAAAGTTGCCGGCTGCAATATATTACGTAGTTTATTTTATTTTGCTTTATTCTTATTGCTTTTTGGTCCTGTCATTTGAGTTGTATGTTTGTTCTTTTATAATTAAATTACAAATATTATTCACGTATAATTAAACCTATATTTACTATTATATTTACAATATTTAATAAAAGTACTGTGATATTTATTCTATAATGTTCAAATTATATTATAATAGAATTACTGCGTGGCATACTTTAAGATGCTATATATTTATTTAATAAAATGATCCTGTTTTCATTTCACAATTTGTTTATAAAGAATGAAATGAAATTTGTGATCTTACGATTAGCTTATATAGGTTTACTCTTCTTTGAAGTTAAGTCGTTAGCAATGTTATGATGTTCTTGTAAATTTTATACGAACACAGAACCTGATACTGCTTTGCAGATGATATTGATGATGTAGAAGTATGTATGTTTCGTTACATGTAACTAAGAAACAAAAGCTTCATTATGATCACATCACGTAATCTGGAATAACGGGCGTATTAATCATAAAAGAAACTATGTCTGTAAGATAGATAATTTGATGAATTTGTTCTACATTCCTCATATATTTCAATATTTTATAATATTTGAAATG